GAAAGGGGGAACCGATCACAAGGATCTACATATAACCTCCTCCCTGGGGGATGGGCAACAGAAAAATAGGTGAAGGGAGATGCTGGGCAGTGTAAGATAAGATAAAATAATAATTTATAAATCATCAAGGGTTCATGAGGGAGGGGGAGAGGGAAAAGGAAAATGAGGAGCTGATTCCAGGAACCCAAGTGGAAAGCGAGTTTTGAGAATGATGAGGGCAATGAATGTATTAAGTGTGCTTTACAAAATTGATGTATGTGTGGATTGTGATGAGTTGTATGAGCCCCAATAAAATTTTTTTTTAATGGACTTGATTTCTTTAATAGATATTTTCCAGAAGCTAAGGTATGACTTGAGTGGCAGGCACAAGACAAAATATGAGCTAAAATGGGCAGAAATCCCTGGTTTCTCCTAATTCCATCTGCAGCATATGGATTAGAAAAAACACTAAACAAGAAGTTAGACCTGGGTCTGCATCTTGGTTTGGCCACTTAGAATGATGCAATCTGGAGCAAGTCACCTCACCTCTCTGAGATTCATATTCGTTCTCTGCAAAATGGGGATACTCTACCTCAGCAAATGTTTAAGGATGTAGTGAAACACAGCCCAGATGTAAAATTCTGCCAGATTTTCTAGGTCTTCCATTAATTTTTAATGTTATAGTTTTCTAAAAATTTATGTTTTGCCCAAAACATCATTTTTTTGTGTGTAAAGCCATTCATAATAGTATATTTTCTATTGTACATACATACACTCTGACATGGTGTCCCTTATTTCATACCTAGCATTTGTAGTCTTTGTCAAGGATTTATCAATCATATCAATTTGTTTAAAGCTCTGATTTTTTTTGTTATTCCACTTTCTTTTTCATTGATTTCAAGTCTGTTTTATTTCCTTTCTTATACTTTCCCTAAGTTTTATTTTCTATCTAGAGATGGAAGCTTAGCAACAGTGGTGTTTGTATTTTCCCTTCTGATTTAATCAAGTACTTTTAGCAACTAAAAGCACCCGGAACTGCCAAAAGAACAAGCAGGTCTCTCTTGGAAGAAGTACGGCCAGAGTGCTCCTTAGAGGCCACATGGGTCAGACTTCACCTCACATACTTTAAATATGTTGTCGGGAGAGACCAGTCAGTCCCTGGAAAAGGACATCATGCTTGGAGGGGCAGCAAAAAAGATAAAAGCCCTCAATGAGATGGACTGACAAGGAGCCTGCAAGATAGTCTCAAACGTTAACACATCGGTGAGGATGGTCAGTGTTTCCTTCGGTTGTACATAGGGGCACTGTGAGTCAGGACAGATTTCATGGAACCCAACACAGTGTCCTTAATCATCGGTTGGACATATGTTCTTTCACTGAAACATCAATGGTAATTCTACATATTACATCATCCACCCTGGACTTATTATAAGCTAATAAAAAATTTGTACTTAACTAAAAATCCTAAAACCAACGAATATTTCTACTCCATATATGCTCCTATCTTTTATAATATTGTCGTATATTCTGCTATAGATATGCAAATATAGACATATATAAAATTTCAGTTTCACAGTGTTCACAGAGCATACAATCAATGCTTTGTACAATCAATATTAAGTTCTGTTAATCATATATTCTGGTGTTCTTATACATCTATTCCTCTCTAATTGACTCTCATTGCCAACATTTTGCATTTATGTCAACTTTGAAAAAGTCTCCAAGCTGCACCTCTGATCGTCTGGGCCCCACACAGGTCCCCAATATGACGTAGGGCACCCACTGCAGTTCACTCTGAACAGCAGACAGGGGGCCTCCGTGACAACTAGGCCCAACCTTCTCCCATTCTTCTTGACTTTTTGGTCCAGCCACAGAAGGTTTGTGTTAATGGCTGAACAACATGAGATTACAGGCAAGGCAATACCAAATGAGGACCCAAAGGTGCAGCAGGGCTCACTGGGAAAGGCATGAAGTGAGAGGGGAGCCAGGTTTGCTGGAAAAAGAATGGGCAGGCAGGGCTGAGACCCCCCCACCCAGGGCAGAGGGCAGGAGGTGGCAGGTGAAGGAGAATTGGGGTCTCTGTACAAGGCAGGTGATGGAAAATAGGCAGCACCTGACAACGACCACCACCAACAGCCCCAAACCTTACAGGTTCTGCAGTGATACAAAAGGTATGTGGGGCAGGGGACCCGCCATGCCATGCTCATCCCAAGATGCACTGGGGGTGCACAACAGACAATGCATTGCTGAAGGGTCACACCAGATCTAAAGACAGAGGATGGCACCCAACTTTTGCATATTGTGACTAACAAATAACAACAACCTAGTCTTGTGAGCTTAACCATGTGCATGAGTGGTGGTAGGCACATCCACATTTCATTAACAACCTAGTCTTTCGAGCTTAACCATGTGCATAAGTGGTGGTAGGCACATCCACATTTCATTAACAACCTAGTCTTTCGAGCTTAAGCATGTGCATAAGTGATGGTAGGCACATCCACATTTCATTTTCCTTCTGCCCAGGGAGCTCCCATGGAACGCTTCTTTTCAGGAAAACTCACTGGTGATAAATTCTCTTACTTTCTTTTTGTTTCAACTATTTTATTTCATCTTAATTTTCAAAAGATGTTTCCAAGAGGTCTAAGATTCTATGTTGGCATCTTTGGCAATTTAGATATCACTCTATTATCAATTGGATTTCAATTCTGTAGTAAATTCGGCTGTCAGTCTTATTTTTATTTACAAACTACTGTGTTTTTTATGCCTTGCTCCTTTTAACTTTCCTCTTCTTATTTCAGTTCTCATAAACAAGTGCCTTTTCTCTGTGGTGGCAGTGTTTCAGTTTTTTTGTAGTTGCTGTTTCTGAGAGGGGTAATTTTCCTGCTTAACATTCCCCTCAACCACTGTCTCATGTTCCTTAATTCAAGAAACTTGATGTGCTTTATATAGAAAATACATGTTTGTTTGTTTTTTCTTTTTTAACATTTTATTAGGGGCTCATACAACTGTTATCCCAATCCATACACACATCAATTGTGTAAAGCGCATTTGTACATCATTTCTCAAAACATTTTCTCTCCATTTAAACCCCCGACATTAGGTCCTCATTTTTCCCCTCCCTCCCAGCTCCCCACTCCCGCATGAGCCCTCGATAGTTTATAAATGAGTATTTTGTCATATCTTGCCCTGTCCGACGTCTCCCTTCATCCACTTTTTGGTTGTCTGTCCCCCAGGGAGGAGGTCACACACAGTTCCATGTAATCGGTTCCCTCTTTCCTACCCATTCTCCCTTTACCCTCCCTGTTTTGCCACTCACACCACTGGTCCTATAGGGCTCATCCGTCCTGGATTCCCTGTAAGAAAATACATGTTACATAAGCTCCTTTCAGGCATAATGTATAATACCATCGGTCATTAAATGAACATTTAATGAATTAACAGTATATTAAATAGAAACGCAGAAAACAATGATCCTACAAGAGACTCAGAGGAACCCAATAGCCCTATATCTCCCCTAGAAGCAACAGGGTTAATTTGATGTGGCCTTCATAGAGCATAACTACTGGAAACAACAGGAAATCAATTGAGTCTCTGCGTGTGCATGTGTGTGTTTGTCTACTTTTTATGGTAATTCTGTACTCTTTTGCCTCTTTTCTTTTGTCTTCCATGTTTCTACACATTATCATAATGGTTGTTTTAAATTCTTACCTGCTTTCTTCAATATCTGGAATGACCAGTGTTTGCTTTTACTCTGGGTTATTCATTAAATAGTCCTGTCTCTCCATATACTTAATGATTTTCTGTTTAATTCCAATTTACAAAGGCTCCACAAGATGGGAGGATTTACTATATATCCTTCTGAGCAGACAGAACAGAGGGTAAATTACATCAACTCAAGAAAACCAAAGAGGGAAAGAGACTATGTTATGGGTTTGGGAAGAACTGACCTATTTACCTCTAATCATCAGGCATGTCTCTCTACAAGTTTCAGTTGACATTATCATTGGACCTTTGCTCAATTGAAAACATCATAGTTCCTTTGTCTTTTCATCACTAAGAGATAATTTGACTTTTTCATATGACTCAACTCCAGGAGTTCAAAACTACCATGCACTCCACAGGAAAAAGACCGAGATTTCTACCCTATGCTGACTTGCAGTCTTGGAAACTCACCGGAGCAGTTCTACTTTGTCTCTATGAGCTGACATCGACTCAACAACAGTGAGTGTGGTTTTCGTTTAGTACAAAGCTTTGGCATTTAGATCATGTCTTATAAGGGAGACTGACTGTTTAAGACCCCTCAAGGCTTAGAGTTTGTCACTGTAGGCCAAAAAAACATGGATTCTCTAATCCTGGGTTCCCAGCTTCTAGCTGAGAGCAAATCGGCAGATAGCCCCAATTAAAAGCCTGCTGCAGATGATCATTGTCAATGTACCACTCCTCCTAGGACTTTTAATGCTCACCTATGTTGTTCTACGGCTGCTTTTTCCATGTGGTCATGATAGAACTCTGTTTTCTAACCACAACAAAACAGGAAAATTTTTATTCTGCTTTTCCGATGATTACAGCTTAGCTCTTTAATACGTCATGTTCAGAACTGAGGGGGGAAACTAGCTGTGATTTTTAGGCCTACTCAAGTCTCCAATTTTGTCTCTCTAACCCTGGACAAAATTTAAATGTTCTGCTGCTTTATTTGTTCCCAAGAAACTTTTCAGTTTTATAACTTCCAAACAATGCTTCCAGGCTTAATAAAGCAAGAAGATGGGCTATATTTTAAAATATTAAACTCAGATTACACTAACCAACTCAATTCTAAATGCACTCTATTGTGTTCAGCATGCTATTGTGTATTTAATCACTTTTCCTTTAATAGGTTTTCTTTGACTATGCATGCCAAAAGATGCACACTGTGTTGATTCAATATGTAATGAATCAAGTTGCGTGATCTAAGTCTGTCATAATATAAAAACAAGTGATAAAACCCAGCACTAACTAAAGTTATTAGAGACACAGATTCCTATTTTGCACAGAATTAAGAAAGATAAAAGAGTACAGTTAAACAAAGAAGACCTTATTTTTATTATGAATGTTTGGCTAGAGGACCCTCATCTACAAAAACATGTCTTTCCTAAAATCATTCTGTCTCTAAAACCATGTCTACACTCAATAATAAAGTTAAATGTACAATTATTTCTCTCTGGAAACATGAAAGAGGAAGCTGTTCCATGAACAGCGGTAAAAAGAGTAACAAGTGCACAGGCTGCTTTCACTGTCACAGCCAGGAGGTCATCACCCGGAAAGCAACATGATGAAAGCCTCCCTGCCCAGACTGAAATGATGATGCCGACAAGGCAGGTGGATGCTTCACTGTCTCTTTCCATGGAGGGCTCCTTCCTCCTCTTTCATCTTCCGCAGGAAGAAAGAGCCCTAAGGAAACTGGATCTCGATTCCAGGATCATACAAAATGTAACCAGTACATTTAATAAAAGAGAGCTTCATAGAAAGAAGTTGCTATAGACACATACACACATAGACAGATAAATGGATAGAGATATAAATAAATTAAAGCAACCCCTTCTTCCACCTCTCATTTCTTTGTCTTTAGTCCCCAATTTGCCATGTTATTATGTTTATCTTTACTGTAAGCTGTTACACTCCCCTTCTAGACATAAAAGATACATAAATAAAGTTCTAAAAGACCTTGCCTGATCATCTATTATTAAGCGCCACCTTCTCATCACAAAACACCACACCTCAATGCAGCGGGACTATTCACACTATAAACCTAAATCTTGGGATAAGTGGATGATAGGAATTGCAAACAAGAAGCCAGCTCCAGTATCAACAGTATCAATTCCACTTTGACCATAAATAAGAATACTCGGATTGCACTATTTGGACGCAAACCCAGGGTCTGACTTGATTTGAGAATGTCAGCCAAAAGCATTTTTTTTTCATGCACATACAACCAAACTGAATCTTAAAAGCTACTTTTAATTGTGGCACATACAGGTGAAAGGGCTCAGAATATATCTGAAACAATTCACAATTATATCAAGTATTTGGACCACTGGTTCTCAACCTTCTAATGCCGTGACCCTTTACTACAGTTCCTCATGTTGTAGTGACACCCACCCCAACCATAAAATTATTTTCGTTGTTACTTCATAACTGTAATTTTGCTACTGTTATGAATTGGGTGACCCCTGTGAAAGGGTCATTTGACACACACACACACACACACCCAAAGGAGTCACGACCCATGGGTTGAGAACTGCTGATTTAGACAGTGTCAAGGGAGCCTACGGAAACATTTACTTGAACAAATCATAGACCTTATACTAAATTACAAAGCAATTCTCACTTAAAAACTTTAGGCTACACTTTTATAACAATGATAGCTATAGATTATTTCAATATAACTCACCTAAGAAAGAGCTGGCAAAAGCTAATGAGAATGCCAAAACTCCTAAATAAAATAAATGTAACTCTCCCAGGTCTTTGGACTCATTTGTTAGAGCAGCAAATGAAGAAAAAGTCTACTATCTGTAACTGCTACTAACCTGCATTAGGCACAACGGCCACACCAAAGAAGAGCTTAGCGTTCTTTATACAAATGTGGAAACAGACACCCTGTAACTTACCAAGACATTAACATAAGGAGCCTTCAAAAAGCTCACGGAAAACAGAATGAAAAGATAATGGATTATTTTCTACAAACTTCTTCAAAGCCCGTTCATATAATGGATTACTGTTGTCACCACAAAATGAGAACTAAATTACATTCCTGAGATGATACTAAGTGAATTCTTTCCATAGTAAGAACAAAATCAATCTAATCAGGGCAGAGATCAAAAGATTTCTGAAACAGAAAATTGTAAATCAGTAACCAGAATCACACAACATGACATGCAAATTGCAATCCACTTTATATTAAGGTGATACAAAGAGAGGGCTGGGGTTGTTTGTATCTTGTTTTGTTTTAATAATTCATCACCATCTCTTGGAGGGAAGGCAGATGAAACTTTCACCAAACAATTTACCTGGCTAAATTAAACCTAGCTTCTCAGACCATAATCAATAAGAAGTTCAGACCATAGGTGATTTCAAGATCCCTGATATGCTTCATTCTTTGCTCCACTCCATTATTTACACAAGCCACCCTGCACGGGCTGCATGGAGGACAGTTTTGTAGTACTGCAAACAAAGAGAACTATGGGAGACAAGAGAAACCCGAAAGTGATTCTATTCCTGAGAAGTAAGCTGATTACACAGCAGATATTCTCTTCACATTGCTCCTGTAAAATTTTATGTAAGTTAAAAATGTTCACGAAGTTACATTCAAAAGAATTCTTGGCAAATATCCAACCCATTTGGCTCATGCTATGGGGGAAGTGACATTCCAACAATCATAAACCACTAGTTACCCAAGTCGTCCCTGGCTGATGACACACTCAAGTGCGACGAACCCACTGACAACTTTCTGGTTTTGCTTTTTTACATATTATCATAATACGCACTACATACAATGCTGCGGTGCATAATTTTCTGATGTAGTTTAAATACATACAGTCTCAGCTGTTGATTCACAGATGTTTAATTTCATGACTTACTTCAAAACCCTAGTGTATAGCAGAGATAAATGCTGAAGAAGAGGGCAGAGAAAAGGTGTCAAACAGTTTGACAATGAGTGGATCACCTGGAGTCTTTCCTAAACTACATCAGGGGCTTCAGTCGCATGCTTGCACTGCTGACGTCCATAGAGAGATTTGAGAAAGTTAGAGGTCACCATGAAATCACGCAGAAGATAACTCACTGTCCCTGCTTTTCTCAGGAAACATGCCATCCTCACTCCCAGCAGTAAACCAGAACCTCTACGGGCAGCTTTATGATTGCAATTGACAGAATGAAATGTTCTAATTTGTGTATTTTTCATGTATGTATTAAACTCTATCTGTAAGTTTATATGTAGCGTTACCAAACACTAAAGAGAAATAAAGATTCAGTGTATAAAGATACTGATAGTAAAAGGCATTAATAGCACATTTAAAAAACAAAAGAGACCCTTGGTTCACATCAGAGCCAACAAAGTCATCAGGATGCCCTCCAGTCTTAAATTGGGAACTGCCCGCCTGTAGCCATACCTTGCAAATTGTATCCACATCCCAAGGTATAATAGTCCTCAGATCGATTATTTCACAAGACACTCCAAGCTTTTCCTGTGCCATGGAAGCCACCTCTCTGATCACATGAACCTGCAATAAGGGAAATAAATATGCAAAGAATGACTATTTGGGCTCAGGCCTGGGAAACTAGTAAAATTCTGACATCTTTCATAGAGACAATGTTTAAAATTAGAAGAATTGATCTATATAGAGAACTGGTAAATTGGTTTTGACAGGTTAAATCCAATAATCTGCTAAAATATTCAAATATAGAGGTCTATAAGGCAGTTGAAAATACAGTCTTAGAACAGGAGAGAGGACAGTACTACAAAGAGCAATTCTTCAGGATAAACAGTCACAAGAGCAGATGAGATTTGTAAACAAAGCCAGTAGACAGAGAAGGGCAGCAACCATAGAACTCTGCATATTATTTAAGGTGGGGGAAAGGGAGAGAAAGAGAAGCTTCTGGAAAAGGAAAGAAAACAGTTAAAGAAAAGGAAAATCAAGAAAATGTCATCCAAAACCTAAATAAGAAAGGGCTTCACACAATTGATGTATGTATGGATTGTGATAAAGAGTTGTATGAGCCCCTAATAAAATGATTAAAAACCTATTCAACAGCAACTATCAAGAATAACTCGTGTCAATAGAGGAGTGTGATAGTTACATAATCTGGTGTCAATTTGAGATAATTAAGGGTGTAGGGGTGAGTCTAGTCTGTCAATCAGATCATGGCCAATGAAACCTCTGTGTGGGCATGGCCTCCTGAGAATTCTGGGAATTCTTCCTTGGAGGCAGGAAACAGTCTGCCTGCCTCTCTCTCTCTCTCTCTCTCTCCTGACAAGACCAGGGCACTATGCTGATAGACCCCATACCCTGAGAACTGGAGAAGCTATGTGGAGACCCCTGCCAGTGCTGAGTGCTGAGATGCTTAAAACAACACTGGATTTATAAGACTTCCCACACACCAGCCTGTGATCTTCCTGCATTTGGCATCACTGCATGTGATTCGTGAGTCTGAAGAGGACTTTATAGATTAGTATTGAACATATGGACTACTATCAGACTTATGGACTTGATCTGGACTGAGCTGGGATGTTTTCTCAATATTCAACTGCTCTTGTATATAAACCTCTTTCTTATATACCTATGAGTGTCTATGGATTTGTTTCTCTAGTCTACCCAATTTGTTTCTCTAGTCTATTAACACAAGGAGGTAGTGAGTGTCACATCTCACATCGATAGGGTATAAAAAATATCTAACATAAGTTTAATGATGTCTGCAGAAAATGTTCTAATAAATTAATGAGAACAGACTCAAGGTACAAAAATATAAGGAAGTTATGGAATCAAACACAGACAATAAAATCTAGTCATGTGAATTAAGTGACTAAATAAAGAAGGGAAACACACTAGAATTTAAGGAAAATGTAGGGTAGAGAGAAGATACCTTAGAGTGAAGAGATAACATTCATTCCTCTTTTAAAAAAGAATCCCGGAAGAGGAAACCTAAGATGCAGGACAGCGGGACTAGCTGAGAGGTGGCAGTGCTGAAAAAGGTAAAATAGAATGTAATTCAGAGCAGATTTAAAGAGGTTATTTATAAATACCAGATACCCCTTCTTCAAAGGCAAAAGAGGATTGGGCACGGATGAGATCAGTGTAAAGGGAAATCATGTTAGGAGAGTTAGTGCCTAATACTTTCTAATGTCCTTATTTTTTAAAAAAAAGGAAACAAAGTCACATGCTAAGGAAGACAAGGATGTGGATTAAAAAGTGGACTTTGAGAGACTAGAAAAGGTTTGTGATAACCACTATGATTCGCTGTCACTGAAATATGACTTGTCAACCATCAGTCATTCCACTGGAGTTGAGAAGCGTGAGAACAATGTTATACAGACTAAGTCAAAAATAAACTAGAAACGAGAACAGGAGCTGTGGAATTGTAAATGAGCATATTTTCCAAAAGTAAGCAAATACTTCCTTTGCATAGAAAAAGCCCACTAATTCTTGAAAAAGAAAAGAGGTGGAAGAGTAAGTAATTGTGGCCAAAGAGTAAGGGTCCTGTGCATAACAGTGTGAAGGCAGAGCAACGAGACATCGAGCCCTGGGGAAAACTGACTACTGGGAAAGTTCAGTAGAGAAAAGTTTGATGCTAGCACTCTGGAATAATCCACATGGCTAGCAAGGTGAGAGAAATCGGGAGCTAAGTTTGAAAACCAGCAATAAGAAAGCAATCAGAGGTGTAGAAGTGATCAGGTAACAGGCATAAGAAAACCCAAAACAAACAAACATATTGTTGAGAAGCAGGAAGGGGGTGAGGTGGGGGGCAGAGACCCAAAACCCACCTGTAGACAATGGAACCAGAGCATGTACACTGGTACAGATAAGAGCTCACAACACGTGGAATCCAGGTCAGATAAACCCCTCCGGAATAGAAATGGGAGTAGCGATACCAGAGGGTCGGGGAAAGGTGGGGAGAGGTAGAGAAGAAGAGGGGACTGACAGCAAAATGATCGGCACATAACCCCAAACACCCCTGGGGTAGGAACAACAGACACCATGGGGGAAGGGAGACAGCGGTTGGTTGGTGTAAAATATGAAAATAATAATAATTTATAATTTGTCAAGGGGTCATGAAGGTAGGAGGGGGAAGGGAGGGAAAAACGAGGAGCTGATATCAAGAGCTCAAGTAGAAAGTAAATGTTTAGAACATAATGACAGCACATGTACAAATATGCTTGATACAATTGATGTATGGATTATTATAAGAGCTGTTAAGAGCTCCCAATAAAGTGATCTTTTAAAAAAAAAAAAAGACTCAAGGCAATGCAGTAAGTGCTTCAAAAGGGTTTGTAAAACATTTTTGTAAACCCTTAACATATTTTTAATGATTTCACCATATGGCTGTATATTAATATAACTGAAAATGATCCTTCTTTTAAGTCAGGAAACAGTACCAGATAAAGATGTTGCAGCAAATCAAAACAGGCTTAATGTGAGATATAAACACAACACCACTTTTAAGTCTTCATCGTATCACAGTTGAAAATGAGAGCTTCCAAGCATGAGTTGGATATTAACAGCTGGAGCAAATGTCACTACTAACCTGCGTTCCCCAAGCAACTAGAGTAACATCACTCCCTTCCTGGATGACTTCCGCCTGGGAAAGTGGGATGTTGTATGGTTCCACAGGGACCTGTTCCACTGAAGACATGACAGGAAGAAAGACAATAGTTTATTTTTCTCTCCTGTGCCATTGGTGCATAATGAAACACTAAGCATTTCATTGTGGCAAAGCTGCCTCTTATTTATTCTTCCCTCAAACTCCCCAGTTTGTTTATAGCAGATACAGTATTCATTATCTTACTTTATAGTGTTATTACAAGGGTGAAAAACAGCAACATAAATTTATAAAATACATCAGCTGTCCTGGAACAGAAAAAATTTGTAAAAACTAAGAAAATCTTAAATTAATTACAGACTGTAGTCAATAATAATCTATCAATATTGTTGTAATTATTATCACTAAGATACCATACAAAGATGGTAAGTTGTTAAGCATACCGTAGGTAAAATATGATACAAATTATATGGGCACCCTCTGTACTTTCCACAATTTTTCTGCAAACCTAAAACTGCTCTAAATATTATAGTACATAATTTTAATTCAACTCTCAGACAAGTTTTCTATCACAAAGTAAATTTATAGTAAGAAGAGGCATGGAAAAAACGCATACGTAGTAGTGGAGCCATTTTTGTGTAAGTACACTTTATTTTTGTACCTCATATCTATATAAGCACTTCTATCAACCACAGAAACTGACAAATCTTCATTATCAAATATAAATACTGTATTCAAAGAATTAAAACTGAATCAGCTCCCCAAAGTTAAATGAAAGAATAAAGAATTGTATCCCAGAGACAACAACTTCACGATTTCTGAGCAATCAAGTACATAAAAATTTAAGAACAATCTTTTAAAACAATTGAAAACGAAGTTGGTGAAAATGCCCAGCAATACTAGGATGCCTCCTTGAATATTTCTGTGAGGAGCACAGCGACGTAAGTACTGGGAAACTGTTCTCTTTTGTTCATCTTCCCCAAAGCTTTTTTCAGTATTATCATCATTGCTACATGCAGTTTTTCAAATTTAAATTACACAGATGAGCAAAATAAAAAAGTACAAGGTTCCCTGTGTTCCCAAGGCTGCCCTTCAAATGCCACTGCCCAGAAGGACTATGAAGGCTAACCATTTCCAGGTGTGTGCCGTGGACAGCTGTCATTCTTTCTGGTATCCAAGCTTCCAAATACTCATTCTTCCAACATTTGGTAAATCCCCATCTTATGAATCAGAGTCCTTCATCCACTACAGAAATAAATTGCATGTATTCACTTTCTCAGCCTCCCTTTCAGCTAAACCATGAAACTTGAGCTCTGCCAATCAAAGGTGCCCACACAGGAGTATGAAGTGGAAGCTGATATCGTCAAAACGCAGCTACCCAGAATTCATTCTGGCATGCTAGTAACAGAACCCCAACCCCACTGCCATCAAGTCAGTTCCAATTCACAGCAAGTCTATATAGACAGGGACAGGTCCAACCTCCAGGTCAATGGTATCACTCATGCTCACTTACAGCGACTGAGGCAATCCTTCTGGAATCAGTTACACAGTGAGATTTGGAGTACTACTTCTAGGTATCTGGTCTCTAAGCCTGTTTATCAGGCACACCAGTGACCAATGAGCTATAGATTATCCTCAATAAAGCTCTTCTGCTTATACTGGCCAGAGTTTAAAACTAAAATCCTAACTGATTCCATTTCTTTTCAGGTATTTACAGTAGGCAAGTATATGTATACAAAGACAAGATGTAAATCTTTTTTAAAAAGAGACCACATTGTACATACACACTGTTTAAAAACTTTCTATAACCTATTTTTTCACTTGGTAATATATTTTGACAATGTTACTATGTCAAAATATTTTTTCAAAATCATAACTATAAATGTGTTCCCATGAGTCAGTTCCAACTCACAGCAATCTTATGTGACAGAGGTCTGTTTCCTATGCTGCGGCTGGTGGGTTCAAACCACAGACCTTGAGATAACAGCTGAGTACTTAACCCTTGTACCACCATGGTTTCTTTACTCTCAAATATAGAAGCACTGTTTATCAATGATGTGGTAAGGGGGGGGGTTCTTATATTTTTTAATATTTCCATTCCAGTGACAGCTGAACATCTTTTTAAAATAACCCATATATTTAAATGAAAGAAAAATAAGATGATAAAACCTTTAAGACTATTTTTGTGCTTTAAATTTGAAATCTGATCACCAATATTAAGTTAACAAGCCTGAAACATACAGCATTAAAAGCTTGGTTTTCTAAGCTGTTGTATAGCACACAAACACTACGTTGAGCCAGATATTTCTACTGTCTACACTAGTGATAGAGGATTTGCAGTTTGCAAGTCAACTTTTGTGAATAAAATCTTACTGGAATACAATCATGCCCCTTCAATTACATACTGCCAATAACCATGTTAGTTGCAACAAAAAGAAGGTGACCAAGAGCCAAAATTATTTACTATTGATTTGTCCCTTTACAACAAAAGTACAGCAACCCCAAGTCTAAACAGTCCTTTAAAACATTGAATGAATGGCTAGCCAGCTACATGATTGGATGGGAAAACACACATATTCAGCTGGGGCAGCAGATTTTGCAATTCCCAAATGTTAACAAAGTGAGTGTAACAAAAACACATTTGACCTCTGACAAAGGTACAGCATAGGCTCATTGCCATGTCCTCTGACAGCAAGAAGAGCGTGCAATGCGAGAAGGCTGAAGCCAGGCATCACTCTCGATGGTACTTGTGAGTCAGTGGCCACCCTTCAAGAGTTCTGTATTCAGTGGACCTCCTCCTACACCCGACCACAGAGATTCCTGAATCACGGTTATTGTTCATTTTAATCGTAGAATGTGTGATAGAGTTACAAACTGTTCAAACATGATATTCCTCCGACTATACTAAACAACCAAATGGGTTTGTAAAATCGTTCTATGTTGAATTACATTATTATTTAGAGTATCGTGAATAGCTGAGCAGATAGCTTTATTTGTCTTTCTTTTCTTTACTTACTAGGTCACTAGCAAATGAGTTCCTGGTATAGCTTCACAATTATTAATTATCACAATATTGCAGCTAAAATAGAAAATGTGACAAAAATGTGTGACTATAAAACCACATGATTTAAAGTTTCACAAAGGGGCAATAATGACAGCTCTGATCAGTTCCCATTGGAAAGTTCCAAAACATATTGGAAAAGATTTAACCTTGTAAGTATATTGATGCATATAAGGTGAGCTGACAAAAATGTTTTGCTGTTATAAGTAACTACAGGGTTGTTTTTTATTTTTAAATAATACTGTAAAAAAAATTTACCAACAGTCAATTTGGTGTCACTCCCACTGCCATGTCACCTGGGGGAGTCCACATCCCACTAGTGTCTATCTTTCCTGACTGTAAATCAGTCACTGTCCATCGTTCCTAATGGGTAAATCAGCTGCCAGCTGACATTAGGAAATCCCTAGAACACACCCTCCTAAGTGCTGGCACACCAAAAGAAAGAGGGTGACTTCTCAGCCCACCTCCTTGGAAGAGTAGCCAAGGAGTGATTAATGACTCCACTGTATTAATAAGTTACCCAGGAATAAGTCTCCATTATTTGAACAGTTGGTTAAAGAACAGCATAGCAAATAGGAAACAAAGCTTTATTTGCTAGCAAATTTACACATATGTCTATGTATAACATGCAGAGAATTAGATTCCACAAGGGTATTAACAACAAACCTCTTTTTAGATCTGCATGAATTTATTGCTGTGAGCAGGAGAGTAAAAAATACAATTTTAATATGCTCATTTACTTAAACTTTGGTCGAAGAGATGACTGGAAAATCAAGTCTTAATTCCCAGGGGCTGCTCATTTACATTAATTTAGAGATAATTATTCCCAGAAAAAGTTATTTCAAATGAGAATTCTTGCATTTCTTCCCCATGGCTAGGTGCTTTTTGAAAAGCAGCTAACAAGTGTTAGGATACAAACCTTCAGTTCTAAAAAGCACTGAATCCAATCACAATGCAAAGTCCTATTTTCATAGCCAGGGGTTCACTAACAGTACTCCGTTTCACCACATGTGGGTTCTATTTGAATTTTAGCACTAATGAGCATTACACAGAGAAATCCCTCAGTATCCAAAATATGTTTACAAAAATGTATGGGGTTTTTTTCCCTTCTTCTGCCTTCTTTATTCATTGTCCAACTTTCACAAGCATGAGGTCACTGAAAACGCTATGCACACTTTATTTGCATGAAAGTAGATTAGTGCAGATTCAGTTAGGTTAAAATTTAGCACCCTATCAGTTGAGCTCCCTTATAATCCATTTAATTTTTTAAATCATTTTATTGGAGGCTCACACAACTCTTATCACAATCCATCCATCCATCGTGTCAAGCACATTTGTACATTCATTGCCCTCATCATTCTCAAAACATTTGCTCTCCACTTATGCCCTTGGCATCCACTCCTCATTTTTCCCCCTCCCTCACCGCTCCCCCCTCCCTTATGAACCCTTGATAATTTATAAATTATTATTTTGTCATATATTACACTGTCTGACATTTCCCTTCACCCACCTTTCTGTTGTCCATTCCCCAGGAAGGAGGTTATATGTAGATCCCTGTAATAGGTTCCCTCTTTCCACCCTACCCTCCCTCCACAAATGTATGGTTTTTAAAAATGAGAAATCTTTCTGAGGTGAAAATAAAAACCTTGAAGTGGTCTATTCAAAGAATTAGACAACATTGATTATCAAATGTACATTGTAAAATTTTGACAGGTTTCCATTGTTATTTGCATATCTGCAAATGCTCATACTCATTTATGTTAATATACTCATGGCATGAAATAGGTCACTCCTGCCTCCCTTCTCGGCTCCCTTTTTCCTCCCAATTGTCTCTAATGTGTTAGATGGCATGAAAGTCATTGTCAGCCCTGGAATAAGAGAGTACTGACACTGCCAGCTGCCCAAGAAGTTGAGGTCCATGTCCACCCCAGGGCATTTCGAAAGTGGAGTCTGGCAGTCTACTTCTAAAACAGACCAGCCATGGAAAACCAACCCTACGGAGCACAGTTCTCCGCTGACACCCATGGAGTGG